ATCAGCAAGACCTTCTTAAGGAGGGATGGTTCAGAAGAGATCTGAAAGTCTATAAGTCAGAGTTAGTAAAGTAAGATGATGATAGATGGTGGGAAAGGTTCCAAGCTATAGAAAATGGATAAATCCCTCCCAGGCAAGGGACAACCTGTGTATCATTTTAAAAAGTGAAATAGATCTACCCTAGCTAGAATGAAAACAGCAAGGGAGAATAATAAGTAATGAAGTTAAAGGGAGAGAAATGAGCCTACTCCTGAAGCCAAGACTACACTGTATGTTAACTAACTTAAGAATAAAATAATAAAATTAAAAAAATAAAAAGTAAACAGAGATATCAAATAAGCCAAGTTAGAGAAAAAAATGTTGTCCTAAATACTTAATACAAAAGAAGTCAGAAAGAGGTAAAAGAAACAAAACAGACGGGACAAATAGAAATCAAATACATGGATTCTAGTTAATTACATTAAACTTATTAATAATTACATTAAATGTAAATAAGCTAAATACTGCAATTTAAAAGCATAGATTGTCAGACTTGATTAAAAAAAACCCATTTATATGCTTCCTAAAATAAAACCACTTAAATTTTTTTTTTTTTTAGTGTTTATTCATTTTTGAGAGAGCGACAGAGCATGAGTGGGGGAGGGGCAGAGAGAGAGGGAGACGCAGAACTTGCAGCAGGCTCCAGGCTTTGAGCTGTCAGCACAGAGCCTGACACGGGGCTGGAACCCACGAACTGCCAAGATCATGACCTGAGCCAAAGTTGGACGCTCAACCGACTGAGCCACCCAAGTGCCCCAAAACCACTTTAAATGTAAACACACAGGTTAAAAGTAAAAGTATGTACTTAGCTTTTCAGTTGAATTGTTTTATATTGGCAATGGTTTTAACACAAATATTCTATTATGTAATCATAAGTCTCACAGTTCTTTAATCTTAGTTCTATATTTAAGTGGATACAATGCTCACCTTTAGTCCTTTTTTCAGTACCTGAAGTCATTGTGTTTTTGCCATTTATATAATTTTAAAATATTTTTTTTAAATTTATTTTTGAGAGAGCAAGTTGGGGAGGGACAGAGAGAGAGGGAGACAGAGAATCCCAAGCAGGCTCCATGCTGTCAGTGTGGAGCCTGACACAGGGCTCAATATTATGGACTGCGAGATGATCATGACCAGAGCTGAAATCAAGAGTTGGGTGCTTAATAGACTGAGCCACCCGAGCACCCCATGACATTTATATAATTTTATAATAAAGGAAAATACGAGACCACAGTTTTTCACATTTATATGCATCAATACTTTTTTAAATTAGTTTTTTTATTTGAGTGTATTTGACACACAATGTTACATTAGTTTCAGGTGTACAGTGTAGTGATTTGACAAGTTTAAACATTATGCTATGTTCACCACCACTATCTGTCACCATACGATGCTATTATAATATCATTGACTATATTTGGTGTACCTTTTATTCCTGTGACTTATTCCATAACTGGAAACGTCTATCTCCCATTCCCCTTCACCCATTTTGCCTTTCCTCTCTACTCCCCTCCCTTCTCGCAACCATCAGTTCTGTTTATAGGTCTGATTCTGCTTTTTTTTGGTTTACTCATTTTTTTTTTGATTCCACATGTCAGTGAAATCATATAGCATTTGTCTTTCTCAGTTTGACATATATATATTTGAGTTAGCATAATATCCTCTAGGTCCATCTGTGTTATCACATTCATCTATCAGTGGATTCTTAGGTTGCTTCCATTTGTTGGCTATTGTAATTAGAGCTGCAATAAGTATATGAGTGCATATATCTTTTCAAATTAATGTTTTTATTTTCTTTGGGTAAATACCCAGTAGTGGAATTATTGGATCATGTACTGTTTCTATTTTTAAATTTTTGAGGAACCTCCATACTATTTTCCACAGTGGCTGTACCAGTTGGCGTTGCCTCCAACAGTGTACAAGAGTTCTTTTTTTTTCCACATTCTTGCCAACACTGTTATTTCTTATCTTTTTGATTTTAGCCATTCCTTCAGGTGTGGGGTGATATCTCATTGTGGTTTTGATTTGAATTTCCCTCATGATCAGTGATGTTGAACTTCTTTTCATGTGTCTGTTGACCATCTGTATGTCTTTGGAAAAATAACTATTCAGGTCCTCTGTCCATTTTTTAAATCATGTTGTTTGGGGTTTTTTGTTTGTTTTTATTTTTGGTGTTTAGGTATATAAGCTCTTTATATATTTTGGATATTAACTGCTTATCAGATATATCATTAATGAATATCTTCTCCCATTCAGTAGGTTGGTTGCCTTTTTGTTTTACTGATGGTTTCCTTTGCTGTGAAAAGCTTTTTATTTTGATATAGTTCCAGGAGTTTATTTTTGTTTTTGCTTTCTGTGCGTTAGGAAACGTATCTAGAAAAATGTTGCTGCTTCCGATGTCAGAGAAATTACTGCTTGTATTCTCTTCTAGGATTTTTATGGTTTCAGTTCTCACATTTAGGTCTTTAGTCCATTTTGAGTTTATTTTTGTGTATGGTGTTAGAAAGTGGTCCAATTTCATTCTTTCACATGTAGCTGTCTAGTTTTCCCAGCACTGTTTATTGAAGAGACTGTCTTTTCCCCTATTTCGTATTCTTGCCTCCTTTGTCATAGATTGACTAATTGTGGTTTATTTCTAGGCTCTCTATACTGTTCTTTTTTTTTTTAATGTTTTTCATTTATTTTTGAGAGAGCGAGAGAGCGCACACAAGTGGGAGAGGGGCAGAGAGAGACAGAGATACAGAATCTGAAGCAGGCTCAAGGCTCTGAGCTGTCTACACAGAGTTTGATGTGGGGCTCAAACTCATGAACCATGAGATCATGACCTGATCCAAAGCCGGACGCTTAACTGACTGAGCCACCCAGGCACCCCTCATCTGTGTTTTTGAGGTGGAGAGGGAACATAAACCTGCCATTCTCCAGTCCCTATGACCCGGAAAGCATTCCCCCAGCTCCTCCATAGTTTTGCAGAGTTCTAGAATTGTCTCTTTTATATGCTAGTTGCTCTTTTAAACTGCATTTTGTTGTGGTTGTTGTTGTTTTGTCTTCCTATGTCATAATCTTGGTCTGGAACCATCCTCATTATGTTTGATTTTTTAGGATTCAGTCATCGGGTTTTCATGGTATATATTTATGATTTGACTATGAAAAATTTCTACTACTGATTTCAGCATTGCAAATATAAAAGTAAAAACATGCAAAAATACATACTATGCAAACACTAAAGATAACTGGAGGGCTCTATTAATATCAGTCAAAGCCATTAGAATGAGGAGAATCACCAGGGATGAATGGGCTCACTTCATAATAAAAGGATTAACTCACTAACAGGACATGATAGTCCTGAAACTGTACACATGAAAGAGCTTTAAAACATATGAAAGAAAAAGTAATAGAATGGACAGACCTACTTCTCTACTTTTCCATAGTAATTGTTAGAACAAGTAGAAGATCAGTAAGAATACAGAAGATTTGATCAACACTGTCAACCACTTTTCCTTGGTGGACACTTATAGAACATTCCACCTAACAACAGCAGAATATACATTCTTTTCAAGTTCATGTGAAACAGTAACTAATATAAACTATATTCTTGTCAGTAAAATAAGTTTCAATAAACTTAAAAAGATAAATTGTACTGAGTATATTCTTTGATCACAATGGAATTAAGAGTCAATAACAGAAAATACCTGAAAATCTCCAGAGTTGGAAGTTTAGCAGCTCACTTCTAAATATTCCATTAGGTCAAAGAATAAATCATAAGGGAAAGAGAAAATATTTTGAATTGAATGAAATTGAAAACATATTAAAATTTGTGTCATGCAGCCAATGCAGTGGTTGCAGTGAAAGTTGTAGCTTTAAATGTATATAGTAGAGAAAAATAAATTTTCCAAACCAATGACATGATCTTTCACTTTAAGAAATTAGGGAAAGAGCATATTGAGCTCAAGAATACAGAAGGAAATTCCTAAAACAAGAACAGAGATCATTGGATTAAAAATAGCAAAGTTAATAGAGGAAGATAAACAAAACAAAAAGCTGATTTTTGACAAAAGCAATAAAATCAATTGAACTCTAGAAAAACTTCCAAGAAAAAAGGAGTATCCCTAAGTTACCATGTCAGGAATTTAAAATGGGACAATTACTGTAGGTCCTCTGGACATTAAAAAGTAATACAGAGTATTTTGACAAACATATGCCAATGCATCTGAGAATGTATATGAAATGTACAAATGAACATACAAATGATCCAAAATGACTAAAGAAGAGATAGAAAATCTCAATAGTTCTATATCCACTAGTGAAGTTGATTTTTTAATGTAAAACCTTCCCATTTAGAATACTCCAGACTCTTTGGTGAATTCTATTATGTACTTAAGGAAGAAATAATATCAATAACCAATCCTATACTAATCCTTTTAGAAAATGGAGGAGGAGGGAACATTTCCCAACACATTTTATAAAGCCAGATTTTCCTGATACCAAAACCAAGTAGACATTAAAGAAAATAACAGAGACTAATATTCTTCTGAATATAGAGGGAGAAATTCTTAACAAAATATTATCAAATTGAATCAAGGAGTATATATTAAAAGGATATACATAACTTAGTGGAGTTTATCCCAGGAATGCAAGATTGGTGTAGTGTTTCAAAATTAACTGATGTAATTGCCATATTTACAGCTTAAAGGGAGGAAAAAAATACACATGATCTCTTCAGTAAGTGCAGAAAAAGCATTTGACAAAATTCAAGAAGCGTATTTGTATCGTAATCAGCCTTGGAAGCTAAAGATAGTGTCTTCTGAAGCAAGGGCAGGTATGCTAATTTTCCTGTATAATAAAGGTAATGTTTCCATCAAGAGCAAAGGGCAGACATGCTTACGGCACTCATGAAAGATTTGGTTTCCCGAAACTCAAGAGTTCTCTCCTCTACTGCTGTGTGACCCTTTTCATGTTGCCTATAGGGATTGGGGCTTGGAGAATCGACGCGAAAGTGCTGGTGTTCTGGCTACTGCTATTGCTGTAACAAACTGTCCTTTATCTCTGACACAGGACTTTCATGTCTTCCACTGGAACCCATAAAACTGTGTCAGACTAACATTAGCTTACAAGTTCAGTAAAATCTCAAGGCTGTTCACAGTTCTTGACAATATAAAAATATATACCTAATTCCAGTTTCTAATTAAAAATTACCCTAATCAATTACAAGGTAATTATAAACCTATATAAAAGTGAATTTATAGCAATTTTGTGGAAAAAAGGACTGGACAAAGGATTTTGAAACAATCATTTTAGAAATTTATTTACATATCTTGGATGGAAGCAATTGATACACTTGACTTGGATTTCCTGGGGGAAAAAAAGAATTTTTTAAGGTGGGAGTGCCAAGTATACTTCAGAAAACAAAATAAAAAATCTTGCTCCCTGCTTTGTGCATATACAATGTATAGAAATAATATAAGTAAAATAACAACATGACTTTTATCAAAAGGGCAAAATTCCTAAATTCAACTGTATAATAAATTGGATACAGATCTTATAAGACTAAATTGTATTTATCTTAAAAGTTTCCTTCTTATTACTGAACTCTGGCTAGTGCCCAGTAGGTGAAAAAAATCTTATACACGTCTCTACTAATCCACCACAATATTACATACCTTTCAAATCAGGAGCCAAAGGCCTACTCCTAGAGCCAGAAATGTCTTCATAAATATCATACTTTTCAAAATGGAATTTCTCTCTTCTTGAAATATAACCCATTTTTGATAGGTCACTCTGTTGACTACAGATTTTTTCACTTAGATTTAAATATTCTCTTTGAAGATTCCGCATCTCAAATTCCAAGGTATCCCTTTCATTTTCTATACTTCTTACATAGTTTTCTAAAAGTATTTTGTCTTCTGCAAGTCTACTGATGCTATTCTCAAATTTTATATTTTCTTGACTATGTTTTTTTAGTTCTTCTTTTAGAATCTGATTATCTGTTTTAATTTCCATTACCATTTTTGATAACATTTCACATTCATTGCCCATTTCTGACAAACTATTCTTATAAATACTTGCTTCTGATTTTGCATTTTTAATTTCTATCAGAAAATTCTCTTCTGCAGTAGATTGGTATTTTTGAATATTCTCAATTTCTCTTTCCATCATTTGTCTAGCAGCAATAGATTCTTGTAATGTTTTTTCGAGATTAAGTTTTTCATTTTTAACTGTTTCTATTATTTGAAAAAGTGTCTCTTGTTCAGTTTTTGCCAATATTTCCTTCTCTTTTAGCTGCATTATCTCTAGTTGGTTTTCCTTCAGTTCATTTTCAAGCGAGCTTCTTTCCTTTAAAAGCTGGTATGTCTTTTTCTCTAGCATTTCCTTTTCTTCTTGTATCAATAGAATATTTGTTTTCATTGATTCCATTTCTATACTCATACGATTATTTTCATTATTGACCATGGCCATATCATTTTGAGTTTTGTGTTCTTTGCTTTTTAGTTGATCTAATGTTTCTATCATTTGTTGCTTCTCCAAAGAAAGTTGATTGTTGTTTTCCTCTAGAGTTTTATTTTGTCCTATGAGAACATTATATTTACCAATTATTTTTTTCAATTCTTTAAGACATTCTTTACCATCTTCTTCTTTTTTAATTAACTTGGACTGAATAGTGTTCTTTTCTTCAACCAAATTCTTAAGTTGCTTTTCATATATTTCGATTTTCTGTATTAGAGATTGTGTGGTAAAGACAAGAGGTTTTATTTTGGTCTTAAGGGTTAGATTTTTATTCTCCAGTTCTGTTACCTTTTTTTGTATCTGCACAGACTCTTTTAGGTAATTCTGTAAGTACTGAATTTTTGCAACACACTGCTCAGTAACAGAATTGACTTTGGATGTTTTCTCATTTTCAAATATTATTGGCCCTTGTTTTATTACTAACGGTTGCATTTCTTTGTCTTTTATTTCATATTTTGTTGAGTCAGAGAATGGCAGTGTATGTCTTAGAGCTCTGGAATGGAATTTTAAATCTGTAATATTCTTGCCAGTGATAGGAATTTCTTTACTGTTTTTCTCATTTCTCTTTCCCCTGTGTATTTCACTCTTAGATAATTTTTTACATTTCCTGCAAAAATTCACATGGAATTTTGACACTGTTTCCCTGAGTGGGAGTAATTTGTTTACTAATGCCTCTAATTCAGAAACTCTCTTTGATTTCATATCTTCATTTAAGTTACTTTCTATATTTTCTTCCTTAATAAAATTATTTTTTACTTTGTGAATTGAAGACAGTTCATATTTACCATTGCTTGGAACATTTCTTTTGGTTTTTAAAGTTTGAAGTTCATTTGTAAGTGCCAGTTCTCTATCATGTGACTTTTGTAGCTCTTCCTTCATTTGTTTGATAGAATGGCAGATATCATCTAAGTTTTCACAAAATCTGTGTTTGAGAAAAGGCTCGGTAATTTTGGATTTATCCAGAATTACTGTATCAGCTTGAGACATCACATTTTGAGGTACATTAGGTAGAAAATTATAAAGATTACTATAATTTTTCAACATGTCAGAATTTTCTGAAGGATTCATAATTATGTTTGAAGGTGAATTGTCTGTTGAAGTTCTCAGAGTTAATACGTCCTTGAAATTTATCTGGGATGTCATATCTATACCTTGAGAGAGACTGTTAACACTATCACTGCTGAATTTTTCTTCCATTGAATGAATAGCATTAGACTCCTCAAAAGGATGAATTTTCTCCATAGAAAGGATTTCTTCTTGATTCTCTATAGGCTAGTGACAATAAAAAGCACACTGTAAATGTATTATCATTTGCCACATTACCAGCAAATCAAGAAAATATTTTGTGGAGGATTTGCTTTTATAACCAAAATGAACATTTTATCCATTTCTACAGCAAAGAAACCTAACAAATATGATTAATTTTCTCTAGAAAAATCTAACAACAGTTATTTTGAGATCTGTAACTCTGGTCTTCACAATTTGCTTAGAAATTGCGCTTATTTCCTCAGAGGGTGACATACATGGGCCAACCCCTCAATTTCAGAAATAGAAATTTAGAATCCTTCAAGAGGCCATCATAGATCGATGGGGAAGATAGAAGCAATAGGTCAAATGCAGTAGGTAGTTTAAGGGAAATGAATATTTCCACTTCTGGGCTGTTGGTCAACCTTTGCATTTCCTATTTTGGATGATTCTAGGGCTGTGACTATTCTAGAAGTGCGAGTTCTAATCAGCGTAGACAGAGTGACTCTCGTTCCAGCTTGTTTCTAGGGAATTCACCTCAGGTCTAGGTCAATCCTATTAAAAGTAGAACAATTCCTAAGTGGATAGAAACGCTAAAAAAACCTGCCTTGTATTTCAGTTTACTTGGGAATCTTTTAGGTATTCCTCGGCCCCACAAAGTCCATTTGCCCCACGAAGAAGGTAAGAATGTAAAGGGGAAGATAAACTGGTTGTAGTAACATTTTTGAAGTACCTAAATAGAGAAGTAGTTTTGAACAGAATAACATACCAAAGCTTTTTCAAGGCGTGTTCCGAATACTAGATTTTTTTCTGAGTTAAATTGTGGGTTTTCTACTTCAATAATACTTTTGTTCAAGATTTCACTGATTTCGGACTGTACCTTTAAAAGATAAATTGATCATGTTAGAATTTGATTTCAGATTTAGAAACTTATGAATGTATAGCAATAACAGATACTATGATACCTTTAAATTTCCTGCACATAAAAATTCTTTTCATTCATATAATGTAATTTATTATAATCTCTGTTATTAAAGGAATTTTTAAGAAAATTATACCTTTATTATATGATAAACAGAAAAAATTTAGTAAAGCAATAAAATTTTATGAACAATATTCAAGTAATTTTGGATGCTTGAATTTTACATTGTTGAATAAAGCAGAGACTTTTGATCTCTGTCCTCAGAATAGAATCCATTCTGTCACTCAGGAGGAGTTTATCTTCTCTTTCCATTTCCTTGCAGTTGCTTTTAGTACAAGAATATTAGGATGAAGTTTATATTAGGTCTTTAGTGAATATATGTTGTGTTAAGCACCACCAGTATCCATACCCTATCCTCTGTAAATACTGTCCCTTATTTGTTCTGGATAAAGTCCCACGAGCCTTTGGTGATCCCACTTCCAGCTGCATGTGACCGAGAGCTAACCAGTCTGAACACTGCCTCCCTTTGAACAGGGATTGGCTCAGGCATTGCATATGACCCAATCTGGGGCAGCCAAGTCAGGCCAAGAACCTTAGGAAAAACTGTTAAGAGAGAAAAGCATCATCTCTTCTCCAACTGGAATCTGGGAGGATAAAAGCCTGGAACTTCTAGCAGCTCTTTTGCTTCAGACATGAAGTCTGAAAATCCATTACAGTGGAAAGCAGAACCAAAATAAGGAGAGTTGTTCCTTATGACATAAGTCCTTATCATATGGATTAAGCCATCCTCAGGTGAACCGTTCCCAGGCTCTTCAGTTATGTGTGCTCATCAAGTACACTTTTTCCCTAAGTCAGTTTGAGTTAGATTTCACATCACTTATAATGAGAGTTCCTATTTGTAGACTGTATATAGGTAGCACTTTAAACATACATGTTTTTAAAAAATCGGCGAGTACTATTTCTTTTTGACTATAGTTGACCCAAATTCAACTGTAACAGAAATAGTTCCCCTCAAACAAATTTTGAGCCTGGAATATTTGTAACCTTTTATTATATTCTTTTTTAAAATTTATTTATTTTTTTAAATTTTTAAATTTTTAAATTTTTTATTTATTTTTTAATTTTTTTTAACGTTTATTTTTGAGACAGAGAGAGACAGAGCACGAATGGGGGAGGGGCAGAGAGAGAGGGAGACACAGAATCGGAAACAGGCTCCAGGCTCTGAGCCATCAGCCCAGAGCCCGACGCGGGGCTTGAACTCACGGACCGTGAGATCGTGACCTGAGCTGAAGTCGGACGCTTAACTGACTGAGCCACCCAGGCGCCCCACCTTTTATTATATTCTAACATAAACTAATCAGTTGGATAATGATCATTAGCTTACAAATGTGGAGTGGTATCTTAAGTTTGGCTA